GTTGTTGGGCATGTGTGTGTGTGTCCCCAGGTCAGGGGTTGTGGGGCATGTGTGTGTGTGTCCCCAGGAGGTCAGGGTTGTAGGGCATGTGTGTGTGTGTCCCCAGGGAGGTCAGGGTTGTGGGGCATGTGTGTGTGTCCCCAGAGTCAAGGGTTGTTGGGCATGTGTGTGTGTGTCCCCCAGGAGGTCAGGGTTGTAGGGCATGTGTGTGTCCCCCAGAGTCAGGGTTGTTGGGCATGTGTGTGTGTGTCCCCCAGGAGTCAGGGTTGTTGGGCATGTGTGTGTGTCCCCAGGAGTCAGGATTGTTGGGCATGTGTGTGTGTCCCCAGGAGTCAGGGTTGTAGGGGCATGTGTGTGTGTCCCCAGGAGTCAGGGTTATGGGGCATGTGAGTGTGTCCCCCAGGGTCAGGATTGGTGGGCATGTGTGTGTGTGTGTGTGTCCCCCAGGTCAGGGTTGTGGGGCATGTGTGTGTGTGTGTCCCCCAGGAGGTCAGGGTTATGGGGCATGTGTGTGTGTGTCCCCAGGAGGTCTGGATTGTTAGACTGTGTGTGTCCCCAGGAGGTCAGGGTTGTAGGGCATGTGTGTGTGTGTGTGTGTCCCCCAAAGAGGTCCAGGGTTGTAGAGACATGTGTGTGTGTCCCCAGGAGGTCAGGTTGTTGGGCATGTGTCAGCTGTCCCCCAGGAGTCAGGGTTGTTGGGCATATGTGTGTGTGTGTGATCCTCAGGAGGTCAGGATGGGGTATGTGTGTGTCCCCAGGAGTCAGAGTTGTAGGCATGTGTGTGTGTCCTCAGGAGGTCAGGTTGTTGGGCATGTGTGTGTGTGTCCCCAGGTCAGGGGTTGTTGGGCATGTGTGTGTGTGTGTGTCCTCAGGAGGTCAGGATATTAGGAGTATATGTGTGTGTCCCCAGGGAGGTCAGGGTTATGGGAGCATGTGTGTGTGTGTGTGTGTGTGTCCCCAGGAGGTCAGGGTTGTAGAGACTGTGTGTGTGTCCCCAGGAGGTCAGGGTTGTTGGGCATGTGTGTGTCCCCAGGAGGTCAGGGGTTGTTGGGCATGTGTGTGTGTGTGTGTGTCCCCAAGGGTCAGGTTTAGCCCAGGGCATGTGTGTGTGTGTGTGTCTGGGGAGGTCAGGTTGTGGGGCATGTGTGTGTGTGTGTGTGTCCCCCAGGGTCAGGGTGTGTGTGTGTGTCCCCCAGGAGGTCAGGGTTATGGGGCATGTGTGTGTGTCCCCCAGGAGGTCAGGGTTGTTGGGCATGTGTGTGTGTGTCCCCAGGAGGTCAGGGTTGTTGGGCATGTGTGTGTGTGTGTGTGTCCCCAGTCAGGTTGTAGAGACATGTGTGTGTGTGTGTGTCCCCCAAGGAGTCAGGGTTGGCAGGGCATGTGTGTGTGGCTCCCCCAGGAGTCAGGGTTGTGGACATGTGTGTGTGTCCCCAGGAGGTCCAGGTTGTTTAGGCATGTGTGTGTGTGTCCCCCAAGTCAGGGTTGTAGGGCATGTGTGTGTGTCCCCAGGAGGTCAGGTTGTTGGGCATGTGTGTGTGTGTCCCCAGGAGTCAGGTTGTGGGGCATGTGTGTGTCCCCCAGAGTCAGGGTTGTTGGGCATGTGTGTGTGTGTCCCCCAGGAGGTCCAGGTTGTTGGGCATGTGTGTGTGTCCCCCCAGGAGGTCAGGGTTACAGGGCATGTGTGTGTGTCCCCAGGAGGTCAGGGGTTGTTGGGCATGTGTGTGTGTCCCCCCAGGAGGGTCAGGGTTGTAGGGCATGTGTGTGTGTCCCCAGGAGGAGTCCAGGGTTGTTGGGCATGTGTGTGTGTCCCCAGGAGGTCAGGGTTGCAGGGCATGTGTGTGTGTGTGTCCCCCAAGGGTCAGGGTTGTAGGGCATGTGTGTGTGTCCCCAGGAGAGTCCCAGGGTTGTTGGGCTGTGTGTGTCCCCCCAGGTCAGGGTTGTTGGGCATGTGTGTGTGTCCCCAGGAGGTCAGGAGTTGTTGGGCATGTGTGTCCCAGAGTCAGGGTTGTTGGGCATGTGTGTGTGTGTGTGTCCTCAGGAGGTCAGGATATTGAGATATATGTGTGTGTCCCCCAGTCAGGGTTGTAGGGCATGTGTGTGTGTGTGTGTCTCAGGAGGTCAGGATAGGAGTATGTGTGTGTCCCCCCAGGAGGTCAGGGGTTGTAGGGCATGTGTGTGTGTGTGTGTGTCCTCCAGGAGTCAGGATATTAGAATTATATGTGTGTACCCCCCCAGAGTCAGGGGTTTGTAGGGCATGTGTGTGTGTGTGTGTCCCCAGGAGTCAGGGGTTGTGGGGCATGTGTGTGTCCCCAGGAGGTCAGGGCTGTAGGGGGCATGTGTGTGTGTCCCCAGGAGGTCAGGGTTGTTGAATGTGTGTGTGTGTGTCCTCCAGGAGGTCAGGGTTGTAGGGCATGTGTGTGTGTGTCCCCAGGTTGGGGCTGTGGGGCATGTGTGTGTGTGTCTTCCAGGAGGTCAGGATGTGGGGTGCTATGTGTGTGTCCCCAGGAGTCCAGGGTTGTGGGGCATGTGTGTGTGTGTCCCCCCAGGAGGTCAGGGTTATGGGGCATGTGTGTGTGTGTCCCCCAGGAGGGTCAGGCTGTGGGGCATGTGTCTGTGTGTCCCCAGGAGGTCAGGGTTGTGGGGCATGTGTGTGTGTGTCCCCAGGGTCAGGGTTGGCCAGGGCATGTGTGTGTGTCCCCCAGGAGGTCAGGGTTGTAGGGCATGTCATGTGTGTGTGTGTGTCCCCAGGAGGTCAGGTTGTAGGGCATGTGTGTGTGTGTCCCCAGGAGGTCAGGGTTGTAGGGCATGTGTGTGTGTGTGTCCCCAGGAGGTCAGGGTTGGGGCATGTGTGTGTGTGTGTCCCCAGGAGGTCAGGGTTGTAGGGCATGTGTGTGTGCATCCCCAGGAGGTCAGGGTTGTGGGGTGTGTGTGTGTGTGTGTCCCCAGGAGGTCAGGGTTGTAGGGCATGTGTGTGTGTGTCCCCCAGGAGGTCAGGGTTGTAGGGCATGTGTGTGTGTCCCCAGGAGGTCAGGGTTGTAGGGGCATGTGTGTGTGTGTGCATCCCCAGGAGGTCAGGGTTGTAGGGTATGTGTGTGTGCGTCCCCAGGAGGTCAGGATATTCTGGTATGTGTGTGTGTGTCCCCAGGAGGCCAGGGTTGTAGGGCATGTGTGTGTGTGTCCCCAGGGTCAGGGTTGTAGAGGGTGTGGGTGTGTCCCCAGGAGGTCAGGGCTGTTGTTTATGTGAGTGTATATCTCCTGGGTTCAGGGCTGTAGCATGTGAGTGTCACCCACGAGGTCAGGGCTGTAGGGCATGTGAGTGTGTCCCCAGGAGGTCAGGGCTGCAGGGCATGTGAGTGTGTCCAGAGGTCAGGGCTGTAGAGGCATGTGGTGTGTCCCCAGGAGGTCAGGGCTGTGGGGCGTCTGAGTGTGCCCCAGGAGGTCAGGGCTGTAGGGCGTGTGAGTGTGTGTCCCCAGGAGGTCAGGGCTGTAGGGCGTGTGAGGTGTCCCCAGGAGGTCAGGGCTTTAGGACATGTGAGTGTGTCCCCAGGAGGTCAGGGCTGTAGTGCATGTGGTATGTCCTCCAGGAGGTCAGGGCTGTAGGGCATGTGGGTGTGTCCCCAGGAGGTCAGGGCTGTAGGGCATGTGGGTGTGTCCCCAGGAGGTCAGGACTGTAGGGCATGTGAGTGTGTCCCCAGGAGGTCAGGGCTGTGGGCATGTGGTGTGCCCCCAGGAGGTCAGGGCTGTAGGGCATGTGGTGTGCCCCCAGGAGTCAGGGCTGTAGGGCATGTGGGTTTGTCCCCAGGAGGTCAGGGCTGTAGGACATGTGGTGTGTCCCCAGGAGGTCAGGGCTGTAGGACATGTAGTGTGTCCCCCAGGAGGTCAGGGCTGTAGGGCATGTGGGTTTGTCCCCCAGAGTTAGGGCATGTGGGTGTGTCCCACAAGAGGTCAGGGCTGTGGGACATGAGTGTGTCCCCAGGAGGTCAGGGCTGTAGGGACATGTGTGTCCCCAGAGTCAGGGTTGTGGGAGCATGTGTGTGTGTCCCCCAGGAGGTCAGGGCTGTAGGGGCATGTGGGTTTGTCCCCCAGGGATTAGGGCATGTGGTGGTGTGTCCCCAAGAGGTCAGGGCTGTGGGCATGTGGCTCCCCAGGAGGTCAGGGCATGTGGGTTTGTCCCCAGGTCAGGCTCTAGGACGTGAGTGTGTCCCCCAGGAGGTCAGGGCATGTAGGTGTGTCCCACAGGAGGTCAGGGCTGTAGGGCATGTTGGTTTGTCCCCAGGAGGTCAGGGCTGTAGGGCATGTGGGTTTGTCCCCAGGAGGTCAGGGCTGTAGGGCATGTGGGTTTGTCCCCAGGAGGTCAGGGCTGAGCATGTGGGCTCCAGGAGGTCAGGCTGTAGGGCATGTGGGTTTGTCCCCAGGAGGTCAGGGCTGTAGGGCATGGTTTTGTCCCCCAGGAGGTCAGGGCTGACATGTTTTGTCCCAGGTAAGGCTGTGGGGCATGTGGGTTTGTCCCCAGGAGGTCAGGACTGTAGGACATGTGGTGTGTCCCCAGGAGGTCAGGCATGTAGGTGTGTCCCGGAGGTCAGGGCTGTAGGGCATGTTGGTTTGTCCCCCAGGAGGTCAGGGCTGTAGGGCATGTGGGTTTGTCCCCAGGGTCAGGGCTGTAGGGCATGTGGGTTTGTCCCCAGGAGGTCAGGGCTGTAGGGCATGTGGGTTTGTCCCCAGGTCAGGGCTGTAGGGCATGTGGTGTGTCTGAGTCAGGGCTGTAGGACATGTGTGTATAGTTTAACTGTATAGTCACTCCTGTTTCTCAAGGAATTGTATTTCATTCCTCAGCCTATAATTTTTTCCAACAGGTGTGTGTGTGTTCCCTTTTATTGAAGGATCAGCTATAAGCTGCTCCAGATACTGTCATACAAGTGTAAATCATTGCAGCCACTAGAAACCCAGAGTTTGGTAGCAGAAGTTCGATTCAACAATACCAGATGTCTTTTGCCAGACAGTTGAAATCTTGGCCCATGACCTTCAGAGCCATGTTATTACAATAGATGAGACTTCTGTCAAAGGAGGTACAGTAATAATTGGAACAGTTTTATCTTCAGATGAAGTTCAAGTATGACTGTGGTTAGGTTAGGTTAGGTGAGGTAAGTTGAACAAGTGGGAAAATGACAAAATCTTACCGCCATTTGCCCTGGACACTGGCTGCTTGGCCTTAATATTCTCCATAGCAACTTGGCCCGATTGGGATGCTGCCTCTGCCGGCCCTTAGTAACAAAAAAAGTGTTTTGACGTCATGATAGTTATTTCTTTTACTATTTCTTTTTATTTTTTTTTATTTTGGCTCATACTGTATGTAACTGCGTAAAATATCTGAAAGTTTTGTATATCTACTTGAAATTATGAGTTAAAAAAGCCATCTTTTCTAAAAACCAGTTTTTGTGATACAGTCATCCCTTGGTTATCACGCCTAATTGGGACCACGCCCAGTGTGTGATAACGAAAAACGCGATAATGAAAGTACAGAACCTATGGGATTTATTCTATTGGTTCCAGGCACCCAAGACCCAACCCCAAGTTTCCCATTTTACCACCATTTAAACCCACTAAGAATATATATAATGTTATGGTAAATATAATAAACACACACAGGCATGGAGGCTTATTACAAAGTGATGAAAAGTCGCTTAATACTGTAGTCCACAAAAACATTAGCTATGTTTTCTTTTTATTTCAGTCCCCCCATAGGAGTCCGTTTTCTCTCGCTTCAGGACACCTGAGTCCTCTGTTTTCTCTCAATCTTAGAGTGCACCAAGACTTCGTTATTCAGTAATGACACAGAATATTGCAACCCCAATAGCAACTGGGGTTGCAATTGGGGTTGCAATGAGGCAACTAGACATGTCTGATTACAGCAAATGTGTTATTGTCAATTTGTAGATGAAAGATTTTATCCTCAATAGATATAAGTTAACATTACACCTGGAGGCAAATGCGTGATAACCAAATTCTCAGCCTGAAAAATGCTTATAACGGCAGGTGTGCAGATTTTGATGGAGGCGTGATAATGAAAATCACGATAACCAAGTGCGCTATAACCAAGGGATGACTGTATAGTCCAGAATGTGATGCCTAGCTTATACCTAAGTATGTTAATGCCTAGCAATAACTCGCCAGGCCAACATACAGGCAATTAAAACATCTAATAGTTACTGAATAAGTAATATTAGGAGGACACGTCGCTAGCTGGCATTTAATTGCAATTCTCAAAACCCCCTCCTTCATCCCCCATCACACTCACTGCTACCGTCATCTTCTTGCCTGGCAAATCAGCTGTATATATGCACAAGGAAAGCTTTGCTAATTTGTGTTGTAATAGCTGAAATTACCCTAGAGGTTGGTCTTCCAACCCACACACCAACCATGTGAGGATGGGGCTAAACATGGTGTAATCTTTCATAAAGCTGGGAACCTTGTCCCCATGCCCGGTGCAGAAAGGTTTGACTGATTTTCTCGCCATTTTCTCAGATTTTCAGGTAATTACTTTATATCATTATTTATCGTTTTTATACATTTAGTATGTTCACTGTAGGCTGAAGTAGGTTTTACTGTATCATGTGTCTGAGGTGTCTCTGAAGGTGTGAGCGTACTAACAGAATTCATCTCAATATAGCAAACTAGTTCACTAAATACAGTGAAAAATATTGGAAAAATGCCTTCCACCAAATCAAGTGTTCAATAGGGATCCGTTATATCGAGAGTACAGTTGTACCCCGATTTACGCGGTCAATTGAACCCACGGGGTACCGCGGAAAGTAAAAACCGCGTAAAGTGAACAACAGAACATATGGGATTAATTCCAATAGAGACTGGCCCGACCCCCAAACTCCACTTTTTCCGACACAAAACTATGTTGTAGTAAAAATAACATCTTAATTTTATGATGGTATACACACACAATTAATATTTAAAAGAAATACAGTCGCCAGGTTAATGTCCATTCAAATAATGGACTCAACTCTTCCCAGCTCACTAGCTCCTACCTCTGAGAAATGTTTGGGTGAAAACACTAGATTTTAACGATAGTAATAAATAATGTAATTGACATTTCTCTTCCTTGCAGGTCAGGGAATATTTTGAATGTAAACTTCATATATTTTGCATAAAAGATAAAATATTTGCTTTTGTAAACCAAATTATTACATTAGATCTAAAAATTGTATGTCTAATGCAAAATCCATGATGTTTATATTCAAATGATCATCATATTGTAGAATTCCAGCAATGTATATTATATTCCCAGGTAATTTTGTATGAATTTTCTGAGCTAAATAAAAAATTATACTTCACCCGCATATATGAGTAGATGCACCACGTAAAATGAAATTCCGGTTCTGGCTAGGTACCGCGTAAATGTAGAATCGCAGAAAGCGAAACCGTGTAAATCGGGGTATTACTGTATACCATTTCCTCTTTTTAAATTTTGATCAAATATCCATAATTCTTGGCATAGCGGCAGCTGCTACGGTCCTTATTTACATAAGAAACAATAAAAGTCGTAGAAATATAATTTCAAAGCTTTTATGTCACTTTGAAGTAAAGAAAATATATTTTAAAACTATAAAATAAGGGAAATGTTAAGTGAATCTTGTGTAAGACGTCAAGTTAAGGTGGTGGTGGACCTTCCCTCTGTTCCCTTAGTACAACATTATGCAATTTCATCATAATTCCTATAGAATTTACTGTAGGTTCATTTGGTATCGGGTTAATATAACTATCATAAAGTAATCACCCCCCAAAAAAAACTCTTAGTCAACCCCAGACCTAATTATTCTGCCTCATTAAATTTCTGGTTGTTTACACAGAGCTCTCACAGCCAGCCCGACACCTGTCTGTCTCGATGTTGGTGTCACCAAGAGGATAAGTATTAGAAGGGAAGGAACTGTTAATGTAATATACAACTACAGTGAACCCTCAAATATTCGGACCTTGTAAATCCGGATTTCGGAGATTCGAACAAAATTTAGAAGTTCCAGGGGCCAAGAAGCCTCCCTAAGAAGCATTCCCAAACCAGAGCAAAGAACATTTTAGGCCCGTGGGAGCTGCTTGACCCGTCAGTTGCTTGAACACAGGTGCCCGAGGAGGTGGGAAAATAAACACAGTTGACATTTGTTGTTTGTGGGAATATTATTTAATTCACTCAAGTAGTGATACAATGTTTCTTATTATGTTATCATAGGTAGCTGCATGGCTTATATAATATGTTTACAACTGTGCCCGTCACTGTTTTCAAATTAGACTGCAAGAAATGTATTTCTCTCATGCGTATTTTGATCTGCACCTGACAGTGGGTGTGGGTAAGGGGAGTCACTTCATTAACTAGTTAGTGCATCGTCTGCAGTTGTAACTCTCCTCACTTCCCCGAGTTCACTGGACTTACTGTTATTATTAGTGTTTACTGATTTAATGGTGATTAATCATGACATTGTAGCCAGGTTAGACTTATCACTATAACCACCAGGCTATTGGACCACGCTGTTGTGTTATTGTAGTTGTTTTTCAACTCATATTTTCGGGTAGATATACGTAACTTTCTTCATTTATTTTTACTCAGTTAGGTACATGCACACTCCATCCTACATATATATTGTGAAAATAGTAAAAGAAATAATTGTCATAAGGGTAAACAATAAAGGGAATAAACAGTTCTTTGTACACGAGTTAGCTGGTTCAGTGAGGGAGGGTGCAGAGTGTAGGGGTGGGGAGCGTTGCTAGGACATCATCCAACTGGTCTTTGTTACTATGGGGAACCAGGCAGTGTATGCAAATGGCGACTGTGTTGTCATTTGGCTTTTATTTACCGGTTAGGTAATACTACAGTATTTTTTTTTGTAACTTATTTATTGGTATTATTGTTATTTATTCCTCACATTTATTGGTACTGTATATATTATTTTCAGAAGACTATGGCTACAGGAGGAAAATACACACAAAAGTTTTTTTTCTTAAATACTCACTCCCTTGTGTCTTTATATGCAAATACAGTCCTGTATTTTTTGGCTTTTTTTTTTTTTAATTATTTATTGTTTTTACACATTTAGTTCATCCACCAGAAGATTCAAACAATTGGCTTTTTTGGACAGGTGGTCCCCCCTTTTAGTCCGGATCTTCGAGGGTTCACTGTACTGTTTGTACAATATCTATGTGTTATTGCATTTAATGATGTATTATGAACCATATTTAGTGTTTATTAAAGTTTCTGAAACTAAAGTAATTATTTCCATTGATATTAATTAAACTACAATTTGCAATTTATAATTCACGATGTCTTGTGGTACCTGACCCGGGAATTATGACGACCCAATCTAAAGTGTGTGATTTTATTTTCTTGTGTTTGATAAAGAAATTACTGTAGCTGTATTTACAACATTCTGCTACTGCTTTAATCATTAGAAGTTAGGTTCTAATAAATGGCCTGTGAAATAATGAGTCATTCACCTTCAGTATGACCACAGAATGATTGTTCAGGATTCACTTCTCCATTTTTAGGTGTACAGGTGTTAGAATAGGGTCCCTTAGATCAGTTGATTGCCCTATTAATTCCTAACCCCATAACTGTGTTATTCCTGTGGCCATGAGAGGTTAAGGGGTTTTGTTTTACTGTAGTAAGTGATGAACTGACTGTCATCTTGCTTATAACTTAACACCTCACATATTGTAAGTGATGAACTGGCTGTCATCTTGCTTATAACTTAACACTTCACATATTGTAAGTGATGAACTGACTGTCATCTTGCTTATAACTTAACACCTCACATATTGTAAGTGATGAACTGGCTGTCATCTTGCTTATAACTTAACACCTCACACATTGTAAGTGATGAACTGACTGTTATCTCGCTTATAACTTAACACCTCACATATTGTAAGTGATGAACTGGCTGTTATCTCACTTATAACTTAACACCTCACATATTGTAAGTGATGAACTGGCTGTTATCTCGCTTATAACTTAACACCTCACATATTGTAAGTGATGAACTGGCTGTTATCTCACTTATAACTTAACACCTCACATATTGTAAGTGATGAACTGGCTGTTATCTCACTTATAACTTAACACCTCACATATTGTAAGTGATGAACTGGCTGTTATCTTGCTTATAACTTAACACCTCACTTATTGTCAGAAGCATCACAGAGGATTTGTTTCTTTATAAGGAGATAGACTAATGTTTGTTATTTAAATTATTAAAGAAGTTCATAACAGCTGTGAACATATCATCTTTGTATCCTTTTTCTCTTACAGGTATGTACTTCAGTGTTGTTGCCTTAATTAGTGCAAGTGTGTGCAACAACCTCTCCATCACCAGCCTTGTGTCTCCCCTCACTGAGTTCATATCCATCATTATGAAAAACAATATTCTGGTCAAGGTTGGTACAGGTTGATAATGCTATTTGATCCCCGTTCAGTGGCTCTCATTTCCCCATAGAATCCCATGTAAACCCAATAAGTGTGGCATTTGGGAAATATGAGTCTACCCCAAGTACTGCAAACAACACAATGGTGAAATATAATGTGTTTATTTACTGAAGATATATATGTTTTTAGCTCATAAAATATATAATTTACATTGCTGGAATCCTGACAAGATGGTGATCATTTTAAATATAAACACCCTAAAATATGCATTAGGCATTCAAATTTTAGATGTAATTTAAGAAGATGAAAATGAGCAAAAATTTTATCTTCTGTGCAAAATATATGACGTTTACATTCAAAATATTCCCTGTCCTGCAAGGAATCCAGCAATGTCAATTATATTATCCTAACTTTAGTCTGAGGTATTATTTATTACTAAAAATGCAAATATACCAAACATTTCTCTGGTAGGGAGGGAGGGAGGGACCCAGCGAGCATGGGAAGAGGTTGAGTCCATTATTTGAATGGACATTAACCTGGCGACTGTATTTCTCTTAAATATTAATTGTGTGAGCATACCATCATGAAATTAAGATGTTATTTTTACTACTGAAGATAATAACACAGTATGAGAATGGAAAAACAGTAGCAACAATCTCACGCGACCTAGGTTTCTCACACTCAACTATATCCACTATTCTGAAGGACAAGGAACGTATTCGTGAAGTAGTGAAAGGAACAACACCTATAAAGGGAACTATAATATCAAAAAAAAGACAAGGTCCTATCCACGATATGGAAAAATTATTGGTGATATGGATAGAAGACCAGATACAGAAGCGTGTACCCTTAAGTGTTCTAACCATACAGGCTAAAGCAAGAAGCCTGTTCCAAAGCCTGAAGGAGCAGGCAGGAGATGAATGTGATCAAACCTTTACAGGAAGTCATGGGTGGTTTGATAGATTTAAAAAACGCTACAGTCTACACAATGTTAAGGTGAGTGGAGAGGCAGCTAGTGCCGATGTTGGTGCTGCCGAAGCTTTTAAGGAGGAGTTAGATGATGTGATTGTGGAAGGGAATTATTTGCCTGAGCAAATATTCAATGTGGATGAGACTGGATTATTGTGGAAACGCATGCCTGAGCGGACATACATCCACAAAGAGGCAAAAAAATGCCCGGATTCAAGGCATTCAAGGACAGAATTACACTTCTGTTGGGGGGGAATGTTGCTGGTTTCAAGCTAAAGCCCTTCATGATCTATCATTCAGAGAACCCCAGGGCTTTTAAACATGTCAGCAAACACACACTGCCAGTGTTTTATCGCAGTAACAAGAAAGCCTGGATGACCCTAGTACTGTTTGAGGATTGGTTCATGACTTGTTTCATTCCACGAGCCAAGGAGTATTGTCTGCAACAACAGATTCCATTCAAGCTTTTACTGATTTTGGATAATGCTCCGGGACACCCACCACACCTGGACGACATGCACCCTGATGTTAAGGTAGTGTACATTCCACCTAACACTACCTCTATCATCCAACCCATGGATCAAGGTGCTATTGCTGCCTTTAAAGCGTATTATTTACGCACGACCTTCGCTCAGGCTGTTGCTGCTACTGAAGGTGAGAAAACGCTCAGACAGTTTTGGAAGGAGTACAACATTTTGTCATGTATAAAGAACATTAGTGCAGCATGGGATGAGGTTACAAAACATTGCATGAATGGAATATGGAAGAAAATCCTGAAAAGATATGTGCACAGTTTCAAAGGATTTAATGAAAATGAAGTTATTTTGGATATTAGTAACAAGATAGTGGAGTTAGGTAAACAGCTGGAGTTAGAAATTGATACTGAAGATGTTGGACAGTTGGTTGAAAGTGTAGCAGAATAGCTCAGTAACAAGGATCTTATTGAACTAGATGCACAGAAAGTTGCAGAGGAAGAAGAGAGACAAAATGTAGAAGAAGAGCCTGCACCCCCCAAAAAGTTTTCAGTGAAACATATGGCAGAGGCATTTGCTACAATTAATAAAGGAATGCAAATGTTTGATGACATGGATCAAAATTATGAGCGTGATGCCAAAGTTGACAGAATGATCCAAGATGCACTTGCTTGCTACAGAGAAATTTATAATGAAAAGAAAAAGCAAACTGTGCAGTCTAAATTGGACATCTATTTCAAGAAGTCCCCCAGTACTGGCTCCTCACGCCCCACCAGTGCTGCCTCTTCACTCCCTCAAGATGATCCAATACCTTCAACCAGCAAGTTTCCACAGTACATAAACCTGTCTGAAGGAAGCGACATTGATGACCCACCCAGCCCTGTCTCCTCTTCTGCTTCATCCAATTAATGTAGTCTCCACGTATCCTGTAAATAGAAAATTATGGGGGCCCTGTGTGCATTCAGCTGACTACATTTAAGGTAAGTGCTCAGTCACACTGTATCCATTCCTCATTATTTATTACTTTTACTGTACTGTATCCATTCCTCATTATTTTTTACGTTTAGTGTACTGTATTTCATTGTAGATTTTTTATTTTTTTATTTTTTTATAAATTGAATTTTTTTTTTTTGTTTTTTTTTTTTTTTTATCATCGGACTTGACCTGGATTTGGGTCCCTAACTTGCGTCATAAGTCGGGGTCTATTTTATTATATATATATACAGTGGGGTATGCTATAACGAACGGATCCTACTACGAATATTCCTATAACGAACGGTTTTACCTATAAAATTGAGAATGCTATAACAAACAAAACTCCTACAACGAACATTATTTATTTATTTATTTATTTATTTATTTTTTTTTTTTTACTAATTTATTGTTTTTTTATTACAAGTATTAATGATATTGGTTATTTCAGGGGTTTAGATGCATATTTATGCACTTTTTTACAATTTTTACAATTTTACCGGTGACTAGCCAAGTCAGGTCAGAAAAAAGGGACCCACAAAATAACTATCATACATCTAGATCAAAGGTTTTCAAAGCATTTTTAACCTTGGGCCACTGACTTGGCTAGTCACGTCACCACCCTTCTCTTAAGCTCCTCTACGTGTGTGTTGGTGTGGGGATTAGTGGATGTCATCATTTTGACCTGACCTCATGTTTTTAGGTCACCCTGTATATTTAAGCCTCTCTCTGTCCATGTAATCCAGTTGCCTCTGAAGATGTCTTGAATAAAGACGAAAGCTAAGGTACTCCGTTGTTTCCATTTTCCAGTGTGATTTTATCAAAATATATATATATATATATATATATATATTAACACCTCTTCAGAATTGAACCCCACAGCTTTGGCTTCTGTGTGACCCGAGGGAAGCATGCTTCCTTCGTTACCAGGATGCAAAGCAGTCCTAGACTTTGTTTATATTTCTAAAATTATATTTCACTTGAAGCTTATAAGCCGTGAGCAGGTAGTCCCCATTAGAGTTCACGGTATATAGCTCGTTGAACAGGCTTTGTGTGTGTAGAATCGTGCTATTGGGCTAATAAATATATATATATATATATATATATATATAGATAGATAGATAGATAGATAGATGAGATGATCGATGAAATTGGGACACAGACATTTAAAAAATGCTTTAGTAAAGTCAAAATCCGGATGCAATCGGACCACCGAAATCGGACTTTTTAGAAAATAATTTTTTTTTTTTTTTTTAGCGGGCTTTTGTGTGTATGTGCACATGCGTGAGCGCCACAGCTGCACAGCGACAACAAGCGACCACATGGTCGCCACTTTGAAACGAGCAATCAAACTGTGACAACATACCGTATACGGTGGTCCCTCGGTTAACGAGCACAATCCATTCTAGAAGGTTGCTCGTTAACTGAGAAACTCATTAACCGAAACCATTGTTTCAATGGGTTTTTGGGTAATTGGTTCCAGCTCACCGAAAATTGCCTAAATTCAACAAAAAAGGTAGAAAAGTACACTTACTTTGAGGTGTGTATGTAGAAGGCTCCTGGATGATGATGATGATGGGAATTAGAATGGGGGTGGAGGAGAAGGGAGAAGAGAAGGCATTGGGGTGGTAGAGAAGTCACCCCATGGCGCCATTTCACCCATGAAATTTTAGTTCTCTTGGTGCAATTCAAGATTATTTTCTTTAAATGAACACTGCATTGCATTATATATTGTCAATATGTAAAATAAATTTCAAAATGACCAAAAATTTGCTTGCATAAACAGAAACAAGGCATTTAGTTGAAGAGAGTCTCAAGCAAGATGTTACCTCCACTGAAAAGACACAAAGACTGACGCCTGTATGGTGTGTTGAGAGGCTGGATGGCATGCATAAAACTAGTTTCATTACCTTCAATTATGTTCAATAATTGTTAAAATTAGTAAAAAATTTAATATTAAACTTTTATAATTATTGAATAGTATAAACTTCTTGATATTTGCTAAAATGGTAAGGAATTTAAGCCCTAGAACCGATTACTGTATTGGCGGACTAATACTACAGCTGGTGGACCGCCAAATGCAAGCGAAATCATGTTCAGGTTGGCTTGTAAGAAACTCGTTAATCGAGGGATTGCTCGTTAACCGAAGTTAAGAATCTTATGGAAGGCAACTCGTAAACCGAAATCTCGTTAACCGAGGGACCACTGTATACTGGTCTATAGCCCCCTCGTTTATCGGTTGACCCTGATTTTTTGACCAAGAAATCGTTAATTTATGATATTCCTCGTTTATAGGTCGACCCACGTTTTTGAGGGTAATGCAACAACAAAACCTTCAGTAAAAACGCTCTACGTCCTGTAAACTGAGGCTCGCCGTGCCTGAAACACCGAGTGCCGAAGGCAAATTGTCTACCATTTATTATTACGACACTTTACACTGAAACGCGGGTAGTTTCAGCAAAATATTGTATATTTCCATTCAAGTATTTATTCAAGTCAATTAGGAGGGAATATTATTGTAATACAACAGTTTTTTAACTAAACCATTCGAAAAGCGATTATTGTAACATCTTTTGAACGAAAGAAAGCGAAAGTTATTGTCTTCGTCACGATTTTATCCAACTTTCCACTGTAATACGTACATAATTTCAGCAAAAATATTACATTTCCGTGAATGCATTATATCAAGCACAGTATGAATAGAATATCATTGTAATATACATAACAGAATTTTAACCGAAAACTATTAAAAAAACGAGTAACATCTCAAGAACATCGGAAGCTTAGGTAAAGTCTTTTGTTTTCGTCATGTATTTTATCCTACTGTATTTTACATTGAAATACATCACGTTTCAGCAAAACTACTATTTATTTCCGAGAATATATTCATTCAGGCGCAGTTTAGGTAAAATATACGTGTGATGTAATAGTTTTTTAACTGAAAACGATTCGAAAAACACGTACCCTCTTGCCCTGTTCAAGGAAAGGACTTGGAGAAGCTGTTTGGTGCTGCAGACGATGACAAGGAAAATGATTTTGATGGATTTTAATGAAAATATTCAGAAATATGGTATCATAGTATTTATTCAAGTCAATTAGGATAGAATATTATTGAAATACAACAGTTTTTTTAACTGAAAACCATTCGAAAAGCGATTATGGTAACATCTTTTGAACGAAAGAAAGCGAAAGTCATTGTTTTCGTCACGATTTTATCCCACTTTCCACTGTAATACGTACGTTATTTCAGCAAAAATATTACATTTCCGTGAATGCATTATATCAAGCACAGTATGAATAGAATACCATTGTAATATAACAATATTTTGAGTCCTACTCTTTCCATTTACAGAGTACTGTACAAGCCCATAATAATGGCTCCTAAAGTAGATAAACTTTGTTGTGTGAAGAGAAAGAAGAACACGTTGAAATTGAGTGACAAACTTGAAATAATTAAGAAACTAGAACGTGGTGTGAGCAATACTGTTCTAATGGAAACATACGACATTGGAAAGTCTACAATTTATGATATAAAAAAGGCAAAGAATAAAATTCTAGAATTCACAGCTTTTTCATTAAAACTGCTTGTTTTGATAAATGAAGCATGCTATATTTGCTATTGAATATACTATCAAAATGTACCTGTTCATCTCTTCTTTATTCCTCCTTTAATTTGAATTTTAAAAGTACTGCCTGAGAATCCGGAAAATCCGAAAATCCAGAACGACCCAATCCCCAAGCAGTCCGGATTTTTGGACTTCTACTGTATACAGTGACCACTCGTTTAACGAACGCCTCGGTTAACGAAATTTCGGTTAACGAACTGCCTTCCATAAAGATCTTCAATTCGGTTAACGAACAAAAATTCGGTTAACGAATTTCTTACGAACTGACCTCAACATGTTTTCGCTTGCACTGACCGGGCAACCAGCTTTAGTATCAGTCCGCCAATACAGTAATCGGTTTTAGGGCTTATATTCCTTACTATTTTAGTAAATATCAAGAAGTTTATACTATTCAATAATTTTAAAAGTTTAATATTAACTTTTTTAGTCATTTTAACAATTATTGAACATAATTGAAGGTAAAGAAACTAGTTTCTGGCATGCCATCCAGCCTGTTAACACACAAGACAGGCGTTAGTCTCTCTCTGTTTTCAGTGGAGGTAACATCTTGCTTGAGACTCTCTTCAACTAAACGCTTTTTTTCTGTGTTTCCAAGCAAATTATTGGTCATTTTGAAATATATTTTCCATATTGACAATATATAATGCAGTACAGTGTTGATTTAAAGAAAATAATCTTGAAATACACCAAGAGAACTAAAATATTATGGGTGAAATGGTGCCATGGGGTGACTTCTCTTCCACCCCAATGCCTTCTCTTCTTCCTTCTCCTCCACCCCCATTCTAATTCCCATCATCATCATCATCATCATCATCATCATCCAGGAGCCTTCTACATACACACCTCAAAAAGTGAACTTTTCTACCATTTTTGTTGAATTTAGGAAATTTTCGGTGAGCTGGAACCAATTACCCAAAAACCCATTGAAACAATGGTTTCGGTTAACGAACTTTTTGGTTAACGAACGACCTTCTGGAACGGATTGAGTTCGTTAACCGAGGGGTCACTGTACTGTAATACCTCGGTTTACGCGTTTCCACATTTATGCGGTACTTCGCCAGAACCGGAATGCCCAATTTACGCTGTGCATCTACTCATATACGCGGGAAGCGGCGGGGCAGGGTGTGCACAAGGTGGCCCAGTCATCAAAACATTACCGAGTTCTTCACCCGCCACCCACCACAACCGGCCCAAGTCAGTGATAGTGATAGTGAGGATATAGACTTATATGGACTTTGAGGGGTTTGACAAAGAGGCCCTGCAAGCCTCTGTGGTGGATAGTGATACAAGTGATACAGGTGAGGGCCAATAATCTGCCCTCTGCCCCGGAACCAATCCCCCATCCCCGTGTGCCCAGCCATCTTTTCTACTAATGTAAGTGTTAAAAATCCTAATATTATTGATATTTCTCTTAATTATTAATTGTGTGTGCATACCATCATAAATTAAAAATGTTATTTTTACTACAATGTACGTATTGTGTCTGAAAAAGTGGAGTTTGGGGGTCGGCCCGGTCTCTATTTCAATTAATTCCATATGTTCTGTTGTTCCATTTATTCGTTTCTCGTTTTACGCGCTACTCCGCGGGTCTTTTGACTGCGTAAATCGGGGTATTACTGTATATATTTTTTTATTATCTTATTTTATCCTATTTCCTTCATTTTCCTATAGGGGCTAGTCCGTGGCCCACCTGAGAACCACCCCATGGCCCACCAGTTGAAGACCACTGTGGGCCTATGCTTATTGTACAGGGGCCCCATACTCCGGGCCCTATGCTTATTGTACAGGGGCCCTTATGGTTGTGAATATATTATATAATGAAATACTCGGTGTACACTTGAAATAAGGTGTCATGGTTTTGGGGTGGATCGGTGGTAGTAGGAGTGGATTATATTATATATAGATAATAATATGTCGTATTTCTTATTTCTTACCGTAGAGTCCGATACCTTCACACTGATTACTTACAGGAGATTATGGCGTATCTACGTAGAAGTTCACTCCACCACTCGACATTCCATGATTTATACTTGATAAATGATGATTTAATGAATTCATTTAATTTTCAACATCCATCTAAGTTATTGGTTATACTATGTCATAACCAATCAGTCATTACCTTTAGTAATAATAAGATAGGATCACAGATACGGGCAGATAATTGCGCTTACATTTATTTGTCAAGCTTCCATACAATGATTTACAATTTGCATGGATATATGATTCTCTCACGTTCACGCTGTAATAAAATTAATCTTCTAAAAGAGAATTTTAACTTGGTGACACATGTGATTACTCTACTATGGGTATAACTTAACAGAGCCTTAATTCTTCAAGTGATACATTTACTGCCAGCCTGGATTGCTTTTGTTGCAACCAGGCTTCATCACAAGAACTTCTTCCCACGGCCATAACAACAAAAAGGTACTCTTGGGTTACCACACATAGTCTCGCGTCACTGACAGTCACTGTGGACGGTTGTCGCGGCAAGTAGAACTGGTAAGCGTGACTTGAATTAACCATTAGGTGCAATAGACCAGCCTGGATTGCTTTTGTCGCAACCAGGCTTCCACACGTGATATTTCCACGGGGATAACAAACCTAGGTTAACACACTTAGTCTCGTGTCGATCACGGTCACGGTAGACGGGTGTCGTGCAGGAGAACTCTGTAAGCGTGAATTAATTAACCATTTACTGTAGGTTTGATAGGCCAGCCTGGATTGCTCTTGTCGCAACCAGGCATCCACACGTGATATTTCCACGGGGATAACAAACCTAGGTTAACACGCTTAGTCTCGTGTCGACGACGGTTCACAGGACGGAGTGCGGTGGAGGACTCTGTGTGGTGTGGTGTCCCGCCCCCCCCTTCAGGAGGGAGAGGCTGGAGGCGACGTCTTAAGTAACCCATGGCTCAGGGGATACTGCTTAAAATGAGGTTTTTGGGTGTGAAGCGATGAACAGTACAACACTGTTCTTCTGCCCACCCCCCTAAAGGCTGGCTAACATACACTAATTGAAAAATACATGTCCCAGTTATGCCTCGCCGGGCGTCTTATCTCTGGTAAAACAAACTTTGGAGTTGGTTGCGTGGGTAAGCCTAACGCAACCCATGACATAAGGTTATACGTTGGCACGTTGCACGACAAATTAGTTTCTGTGGGCCCCCAGATACCGGTGGTCCCTAGGCCAATGGCCTACTTGGCCTATTGCTAAATCCGGCCCTGCTCGAACCCTCGATGCTGGATTCTGTAAAATGCTACTCCAACCATATAAGTGGCACAGGCAATCCCCAATTGGAGGTTCATGGCTCCATAAGCACGATCAACAGGCTTTGTGTGAAATATAACAAAGTCTAGGATTGCTTATAGTGTCCTTGTGGCGCGGTTGGTAGCAATCCCTGGTCATACGCATAAGGTCAAGGGTTTGAGTCCTGGCTGGTGAGGTTGTTGAATATATGTTGAAGTCTGCGTGCTATATGAACTAATGATATATATATATATATATATATATATATATATATATATATATATATATATATATATATATATATATATATATATATATATATATATATATATATATATATATATATATATATATATATATATATATATATATATATATATATATAATTTTTTTTTTTTCAGGTGTGCAGTGTAAGTGACTTGTACTGCTTTTACCCAAATGACTGTCACCCACTAAAACATGCAGCCTTCACTTACCATCCAGTGAATGCACACAGTGTGGACTTGAAACTCTATACAAAGTAAGCATATTTGGTGTTCATAACACATTATTATACTGTAATGTAATGGATATTTATGCAACTAACTAGATGTATGTACCATTTTTTTTAATTAACTGAAATTATCAAGTCCCATTTTATTATGTATGATCAAAGGTGGGCAGTTGTGCCACAAAAGGTTGAGGCGTAACTTGTGCCACAACTTTTTGGTTGTGCTTACAGTTGCACCGCACTTTTTTCCAGAGAGTTGTGGAACTGGTTGCGGCACAACTTTTACAAGCATTTTCAAGCGCAAAGCGCAAAATTTTTCGGTAATAATTAAAAATTGGAATACGACCGCATAAACAAACAGGCATCCTTAGAGCCGATCATTACGAAAATTTCTGTTTCTGACAGAATGATCCAGTATACACATGATACAGGTCGGGCAGCATATTTCTGAACTGTAAACCAGATGAGACACCCCGCCCCCCGTCGCTCCCTCACTCCCCTTTCCTCGCTGTAGTTGCCAAATTTCATCTTTCACATTAACTGTAGAGACTAGAGTTAATGTGAAAGATTAAATCTGGCAACTACAGCTCATTTTGCACACATAAACATTAATTCAATAAAAAAGACATTCAGTAATAAACAATAATGAATCTTTTGTACATAAGATACATAAGAGAAGTGACGCTGTTTACACGATTATGCACGTCGTCTGCATTTTGGCGGGCCGTTCAAACCCGTCGAAATTCAAGTTTCCGGCGTCAAAATTTTTATTTATTTATTTTTGTGTGTGTTCCAATAAAATACGTTAAGAATTAAAAACTCGCGAAATTTGAGAAGCTACTATACGACATTTAACCCTTCAATATGTCTTCAAAGAGACCATGACGCAGAGAAAGTGGTGCTAGTGCTTCCAGGCATAAGCACAAGTCACTATCTATCCAGGAAAAGGGTGAATTTCCATGGTCCGGCACCGGTCAGGTCCCGAGGTTGCCGGACTAGAGAGGTACAACCTGTACCTCTTTATGTCTCTATTTATGTCCATCAGTATCCGCTTAGTTACATTTAAGTATTTCAGTGTTAGTTTTTATATGTTTATGCAGTGTTAACGTAATCCAATGCTTTATTTTTATTCTTTTGATGTTTCGATGTTTAGTATCATTTGTGTCTTAAAAGTTTCGATGGTGAATCAATTTGTTGACAGCCTACGAGGCTCTTTATTGTGTTAATATTTATTTAATTAAATTCTTATAGGTTTACTTTGTTTATTTTTATTCCCTTTTAATTTACTTCACTTTTTTGTTTGGTTACGCCTAGAACCTGGATATTTAGGTAAATTAAGAGACAGCGTAACAACGTACATAAACACTTTTACTCTAAGTCACTACTGTAATGTGATACAGGTGATTAATTTTTATCTCTTGTGCAAAATACATGACGTATATAAAATTATTCACTGTTTTACAAGGATTCCAGCAACGCCGGGCAGATGGGGGAGAGAGAGGGAGGGAGCGAGCGAGGGGGCGTGGGGGGAGGGGAGGTAGTACGTTTGACAGTTGGCACAGGCCCAGGTCTAACGCGTGTATATTTATCAGTTATTAGGTGACTAAGCTTCTCTCTTATAAAAAGCCAGTGAAATGACCTGGGTGAATATAATTAACATTGCTGGGATTCTTGTAACATACTGATTAATTTGAATATAAACATGCTATAATTTGCACTAGACAAAACAATTTTAGTACCATCATCAAATTAGTACATGTGCACTCCAGCTTTGCACTAAAGTCATTTATTTCTTTTACGTTTCTTTTAGTATGGTGTGTGCATGTAAATGGATGAAAATAAATACTAAATGAAATTTATGTAAATCTACCCAAAAATACAGTTGAAAAACTTTTTATAAAATGTACTACAGCATTGTACACTAATGTACTACATTTTTAATATCGTTAGCAAAATATATGTCGCTTATATTTAAATTAATCTCTGTCTTGCAAGGATTTCAGCAATGGAAATTATATTATCGTAACTTTAGTCTGAGATATTATATAAAATAAACATATAGAAATCACCAATCTTTTGTCTGGTAACACAAGGAGGGAGGCAAGGAGGGAGGTAGCCAGCGAGTGTGGGAGGGAGGTGAGGTGACAGTGTGTCTTTATTTATTTGAGATACGATTTGACAGTTGGCACTAAAGCCTGTGTGTTTATTTATCATTCCTTAAGAGTGACTAAGCTCTTATCATAATTTGCCACCCAAACGACCTGGATGAATATAACTGACATTGCTGGGATTCTTGTAAGATAGTGATTTATTTGAATACCTGTACATTTAGTACATGTACAATACAGGTTTGCACTTAGGTCCATTGTTAACCGAGGGACAACTGTATTGCAGTGTACTTGTACTGTACAATATTGACTAAATTCACTAGATGACGTACACAACTAATGAAACACAGAGGTTAGGAAGGCTAATAAAATAACATAATGTCTACAATTGCTAATATATTGAAGTAAAAAAATACAGGTTCAGTATAATATACATACAGTAAATCAGGCACAGTACAGTATAGAAAAATTAAACACTACACTGTTCACTGATTGAGAAGTAAATGCAGTATCGTATCCTTAAATCTGATGGACTTTTCTTGCGTTTTACTTTGAAAATTAGATTTTACATTTCACTTATTTAACTTAAGTATAGTATACAATTTACATATACATCACACAATTTTTAAGCCTGCTCTAGGGCCATTTAGGTTCGCTACTTCCCATTATTTGAATGTTTTTTTTTTTTCAATTTCAATTTCTATTGTTTATTCCTTGATAGAGGAAGCGGGATCCTAGTGCTGTCACTTGGTACCCCAGTACCATAACACCAGAAGAAGCTGCCCAGTGTCACAAGTATATACAGTACAGTCATCCCTTGGTTATCGCGCCTAATTGGGACCCCGCCGATAACGAAAGTACAGAACCTATGGGATTTATTCTAATTGGTTCCAGGCACCCAAGACCCAACCCCAAGTTTCCCATTTTACGACCATTTAGACCCACTAAATATATATATAATGTTATGGTAAATATCATAAACACACACAGGCATGGCTAGGTTTATTACAAAGTGATGAAAAATTATGCTTAATACTGTAGTCCACAAAACATGTAGCTATGCTTTTTTTATTTGGTCCCCCATCATAGGAGTCCGTTTTCTCTCACATCAGGACGCCTGAGTCCTCCGTTTTCTCTCTTAATCTTAGAGTGCACCAGAGACTTCGTTATTCTTAGTAATGCCACAGAATTTGAAATTGCATACCCAATTGCAACTGGGGTTGCAATTGTTGAGGCAACTAGATATGTCTGATTACAGCAAATGTGTTATTGTCAATTTGTAGGTGAAAGATTTTATCCTCAACAGATGTAGGTTAACTTTACACCTGGAGGCAAATGCTTAAAAAAAGCCTAAGGAAGAGAGCATATTCCTTTAACACATAATATCTGACCAGTATGGGGAGGATCATCGTGTCTCCGTCAGGGGGTCGTGGAGTGGTGGTCGAGCAGGCGTCACAGACTGTACTTTTCTGTGAGCTGGAACCAATTACCCAATATCCCATTGAAACAATGGTTTCGGTTAACGAACACCTCGGTTAACGAATTACCTTCCATAAGAATCTTCAATTCAGTTAACGAACAAAAATTCGGTTAACGAAATTTATACGAAATCATGTCAACATGTTTTCGCTTGTTCACCAGCTGGTAGATTAGTCCGCCAATACAGTAATCGGTTCTAGGGCTTAAATTCTTTCCCATTTGAGTAAATATCAAGAAGGTTGTACTATTCAATAATTTTCCAAGTTTTATATTAAATTTGTTAGTCATTTTAACGCTTATTTAACATAATTGCAGTACAATGATCCCTTGGTTAACGAGATTTCGGTTAACGATTTACCTTCCATAAGATTCTTAACTTCGGTTAACGAGCAATCCCTCAATTAACAAGTTTTTTACGAGCCGACTTCAACATGTTTTCGCTTGCATTTGGCAGTCCACCAGCTGTAGTATTAGTCCACCAATACAGTAATCGGTTTTAGGGCTTAAATTCCTTACTATTTTAATAAATATCAAGAAGTTTATACTATTCAATAATTTTAAAAGTTTAATATTAACTTTTTTAGTCATTTTAACAATTATTGAACATAATTGAAGGTAAAGAAACTAGTTTCTGGCGTGCCATCCAGCCTGTTAACACACCAGACAGGCGTTAGTCTCTCTCTGTTTTCACTGGAGGTAACATCTTGCTTGAGACTCTCTTCAACTAAACGCTTTTTTTCTGTGTTTCCAAGCAAATTATTGGTCATTTTGAAATTTATTTTACATATTGACAATATATAATGCAGTGCAGTGTTGATTTAAAGAAAATAATCTTGAATTACACCAAGAGAACTAAAATTTTATGGGTGAAATGACGCCATGGGGTGACTTCTCTTCTCCCTTCTCCTCCACCCCCATTCTAATTCCCATCATCATCATCATCATCATCCAGGAACCTTCTACATACACACCTCAAAGTAAGTGTACTTTTCTACCTTTTTTGTTGAATTTAGGCAATTTTCAGTGAGCTGGAACCAATTACCCAAAAACCCATTGAAACAATGGTTTCGGTTAACGAGCAACCTGCTGGAACGAATTGTGCTCGTTAACCGAGGGACCACTGTACAGGAAACTAGGTTTTGGTGCACCAATCAGCCACTTGACTCACCCAGCAAGACATCAGTTTGTATCTCTGGTCAGTGGAGGTAAGATCTTGCTTGTGGCTCTCTTGAACATAAACTAATTTTACGTTTTTACAGTGCAATTATTGGTCATTCTGAAATTTATTTTACATATTGACAATATGTAGTGCAGGGCAGTGTTGATTTAAAGAAAATAATCTTGAATTACACCTAGTGAACTTAAAATTGTATGGGTGAAATGACGGCATCAAGCATGGGGTGATTTCTCTTCCATCCCCACTTCCTTCTCTTCTCCCTTCTC